CGTTTCAAATTTCTAAAAATTTCAAAAAAAAAAAAAAAAAAAATGTATCCCGTGACAACTAACAAGTAGATCGATCATTTATAGGTTAAAAATTCTAATTTTTTTTTTTAAACTCGATCTAGAAATTCCAGCTCGATATTGATGACAATATTCGAATTGATTAATATATTTATTCATCTCGATATTTCGAAAATTAAAACTGGCAGTGATAAATTGTTAAATCGACTTAATTTAAGTAGGTGAGGCACGTAGTAGCGAAAACAAATCAAATTTTACGGATCGATGGCGAAGCCTGGTGCTCTACTCGACGAGCCAGTTTTCCAGGGACTTCGAACAAATTGTAAAAATGCATAACCGATTAAAGAACGAAAGTGGAACGAAGATACCACATACACCGTCGGTTTAATCGCTCGATCGCGATCGAACGAAATTACATTCGATCGAATCGAAAGATTTCGTCAAGTTTAAAACGTTGAATCGTTCCGCTTTTCAACCGATCGCGACCCCGAAGCCATTTATCCCAACCAGGCCATTAAGCTCTCCTTCCTTCCATCTCTTCTCTTCTCGAGAATTCTTCATCAACTTCCTTTCGAGTTAACCGTCCGTTAATTAACCAATTAATTAATTCTGGAACAAGCGGTTATAAATACAACCCTCTTCCTCTCGACTATTATCGAGAAATCGATCTTCGAGAAGACGCGTCTTATGTCACGTTATCAAATATCGCGATTTATCTTCTTATACAAAGTACCGCCACGTCCACGAATAAAATAACGTGAAATTACGATTTACCCCGAATGATATCAAACGATATTAAACCGTACATTATCCGCGGCGAAATGCGTGTTAATCCATATTCATGAGTCGTGAGGCATAACCACAGCAACGCGTGGTGACGCGAGACCACGCGTAATATGCAAATCACGATCAAGCAAAAACAACGCTACGATCATGTGAAGAACACCGCTGAAAATCCACCTACATGCGGACATATTTCGTCCCAAATCCGTTCCACCTTATTTCTTTCCCTTATTGTCTTTCAATTTTCACGAGATTTCCTTCCATCTTTAAGAATCCTCAACAGCCAATTCCTCTCCTTCCCTTTCGTCGAAAACTCTCCGTGATAGATAACGGCTTTCCATTATCGGCTCGTCATAAATCCGTTTCCAAGATTCGTCCATCGATCGATCCATCGATCGTCCGAATCCCTTCTCTCAGAATTCCCTCGTCTCTAAAACGAAGAAATGAATTCTGTTGCGAGACTGTGAACAGCATTCCCTTCTTGCTCTCCTTCGAAAGGGAGGAGGGGGATGTTTCGTCCACGACGAGTCCACACGCAACGCGTAATAACGATATATGCGTGATGATATCTTCGATTTTTTCGATGTTGGATTTTCGAGCTATTGGAACGCAATCGGTGTCACTGGAATGCGGAGAATCGAGCGAATCGATGTCCTCCACCGCCACGCCACGCCCCTGTTAACCGAACCTTCTTGCTGAAGAGCTGTGTTATCGGATTCTCCGTGACGATTCTCCAAGGAATTCGCGTGTGCTTCTCGAATAAGTATTTTTCACCAGTTCTCTTCGCGCGTCAATTATTATTATTATTCGTGTATCTTTGGATAGAAGCAGCACTGTGATCGTTGGGCATCGTTATTTTTGTTAGAACGATACGAAAGGAAAAGAAAAATGATTCAAGATCGAAGTAACAGGTTGCAAAGTGTTTATTGGAAAGCATCAAATATCGTTCTTGATTAATTTCTTTTCTAATTTCTTCTCGTTTCACGAAGAATCCAAGTTATTCAAACGAATAACAAGAGTTTATTATACATGTGTAAAGGTGTAAGGATACTGATAGCATCGTCATCGTTAGATTTTTAGAAAGCAGATATCGTCATTCTTAATTTCTTTTCTAATTTCTCCTTGTTTCACGAAGAATCCAAATTATTTAAACGAATAAGGTTGAGTTTATTATACATATGTAAAGATGTAAGGATACTGATGGCATCGTCATCGTTAGATTTTTAGAAAGCAGATATCGTCGTTCTTGATTAATTTCTTTTCTAATTTCTCCTTGTTTCACGAAGAATCCAAATTATTTACACGAATAAGGTTGAGTTTATTATACATAGGGAAAGATGTAAGGATACTGATGGCATCGTCATCGTTAGATTTTTAGAAAGCAGATATCGTCGTTCTTGATTAATTTCTTTTCTAATTTCTCCTTATTTCACGAAGAATCCAAACGAATAAGGGTTGAGTTTATACATGTGTAAAGGTGTAAGGACTCATATCTTGTATATTTGTGCGCGAATCGAATATCGTTGAACGCGAGATACTGATAGCATCTTCATCTTTGTTAGAACGATACGAAAGAAAAAGAAAAATAATTCAAGATCGAAGTAATAGGTTGCAAAGTATTTTTTGGGGATCGATATCACCGTTATTTTCTTTTCTAATTTTTCTTTATTCTACGAAGAATCCAAGTTATCCAAACGAATAAGGGTTGAATTTATACATGTGTAAAGGTGTAAGGACTCGTATCTTGTATATTTGTGTGCGAATCGGGTGTCGCTGGACGCGATCGCCGTTTAGATTCTGTTTTGTCTGTTCCCCTTTTTCGAATCGCCCTTTTTACACGACATAACATAGCGAGCTCAGAGTAGTAGTGAAACAAAGGACATCGACACGATCCACATATAACACAATTCATTCCTATCTCTTTTATTAAATATATTCTTTCTTGCTGTTACTTTCTGACCAAATCACAACCTGTTCCCTAATAACAAGAAAAGATGGCAATTCGAAGAAACGAATAGATATCCTGTCGAAACAAAAATCGTTCTTCAAAAAAAACAAATCGAGGGGGCAAAGATTCCGCTCTTTACAATAGCGAATGTTTTCAAAGTTTCTAAAGTATTGCGCGTGATTTAGGAGGAGGCTGTAGGAAAATTGCTCTTTAAACCCTCGCGTATTTTCGCGAGGATGTCAAGTGTAAACCAGGCTTAATGCGGCTGAACTAGCAATTCGAAACGAACGAGCAGAGTTACAATGGTACGTACAAAGCAACTACACTCTGTATCGGATTGGAGAGATTCTAATGTACGTGAGCCATTACTGAGCTGGTTTGCGTTTATAGATAGCACGTGCTGGTAACCGATTCTATGCCGTTTGTCACGGATTCAAACAGTTTGGAGAAGCTAAACGACAGGAACGGTGAATCGATCCAGTTTCAAGTTAAATAAAAAAAAAAAACAAACAAAAAAAAAAAAAAAGGAATCAGACTTACGTCCATTCACGTTGGATCCAGTTGCGAAAAACGCGTGAAGCAAATTACACATATAATTAACAATTTTATGCTTCTTTTTTTATATAACGAAAATTCTCACTGAGAAATTTTTACTTCCTTCTTTTTTCATTTTTCATTTTTTTTTTTTTTTTTTTTGTTTGCATCAATCGCACGATAAATCAATTCACGACACGTGAATTGCGAACACGTTTCCCCATTTTTCTTTCTCGATCAATAATTTCGCGCTCGTCCCATACTCGCGATTTATTCGAAATTCGGGGCTCCTTGTCGCGATCTATCGTAAATGCTAATTTCAAGGAAATTATACGTGGCGAAAGGGAAAAGGAAGAAATTTCCGGCTCAATAACTTAACGGCGTCCGTGAATTCGAGAAGCCGATTTAAGGAAGCTCTGCTAATTTTTTCTCGAGTAACGCTCCATTTAATCTCGATCGCTGATCCACTTATTTCGCCTTCCTCGAATTGCCCGTTTCAAACTTCGCGCAATTAGCCAAATCGAAGGTCTTCTCTCGCGAAAAACTGTAATCACCGCAAAATTCACAACGATTCGAGCATGCTTCGTCGAAAAAATGAAAAAGAATCGAAATATAAAATACAAAATACAAAAGATAAAGAAATATCGAGAAATGTGTGATTCGGAGATCATTTCTTTCGTCTTCATCGTCCCTTAATCAAGAAGATTACTCGTCGCTTCATCGCGGACGATTACGAATGAAAAAAATGGATCGATGTCAGCAAATTTTGCGGCCAATTTTCTGCCTCCTTTTCTTTTTTTTTTTTCGTCTACGTTGGCAACGACTACTCTTCCAATAAGATTCCAATAATTTTGAACAAGAGACATTGATAGAACCCCTTTGACGTTCTCAATAAAGCGTATTCGCTTCGAAAAATACTTCGATTCCTTCAATTTCCATCTCTCGACAGTGAAAGAAAAATGGTTGTTGCCCTTCCTTTGATGCCCCCCCGCGAACAGAAAAATCACAGTTACGAATCTCGTTCTATTTTCACACGATGCATTTAGAAAAAGACTGCTACTCACCCCCTTGTAACTGTGGCTCACCCAGCTCGACGTAGAACAGGGCATCCTTCTCGTACGAATCCTCCTCGATGATCTCCAACGTGATCTCTTTTCTGGAAAAGAAAAAGAAGAAAAGGAAAAAAAAATAAAGCGGAAAGGGAAGAAAGAAAATACCGTGAGATTAATCCGTGTAGGAGGATCGGGTCGGGTATCGTATCACATTCGCCGAGTTTCGAAAGAAAGTTGGAAGGCAAAGTTGGGTTAAACTTCGGTAAACGGCTAAAGAACGGCTCGCAGCCTTAAAATAAGCGTCGATCTTTCCTTGTTGGCCGAGGAACTTCCGGTCCCAAGGCGTGCGACGCGCTTCCCGCAACTTTTTCGAGTCCATTGAATTTGTTTTGAGACGGCTCAATTTCATTCATGGTCCCTCTCGGCCGAGTTGCAAAATTAAACAACTCTCTCTCTCTCTCTCTCTTGGACTCAATTCTTCGTAGAATTTCGAAGGATTAAGTTTAGTAATTTAATATCTGAAC